ATGCATCCCTTCTCCAATTGTCAAGTCTTCAAGATCATAAGTCAATCCTTCGGCCATATCATTAAATAGCTTATGAAAGTAGACTTCCTATCAATCCTACCTCTATCAGTAATAAAAAATCTACCTTCTTCGTCCTATATACATCTTAGTTAGTCCAAATCTCTTATTTTTCTTTCCTTATTCTTTGCAATCTTGTAAATCTTGCATTGCCTAGCCTTAGTGCCTAAATCTTTATATAACTCCTCAAAAGCTTTAGAACGAGCATCACCCATTGCTCTCCTAGTCTTTTTTTAAGCTAAGCGATACCTTTCCTAATTTTCAGTATTATTACACAAATGTATCACTTCAAAACAATCTCATTTATTCCTAACTTTCTCTTGTGCATTCTCGTTCCACAACCATGTCTCCTTATCTAGCCAATCATGGCCTTTTGATTCTCTTAAAATTGTTTTAGTAGGCTTTTGAACCTTTTTAGCCATTTCTATCTATATAAGATTAGCATTTACTTGTAGCTCTCAAACCCTTTACTCTACAAGAGTCCTTTTCAAAATCTCTCACTTCTCTCCCTTTAACTGCCACCACTTGACCCTTAGGGTTGACACTTGTTAGCGTTTTTGTTTTATACATTTAACATGTACATTAAGGACTAGGACCTTATGTTGTGCTGTCATACCATCCCCAGGAATCACTTTATAGTTTGTACATAGTTTTCTATCAAGATTTCTTACAAAAAAGAAGTCAGTCTGTGACTTAGAGGTTCCACTCTGGTATGTGATTAAATGCTCCTCCCACCTCTTAAAGCAAGTGTTAACAATCTTGAGGTTATGCATGAGGGAGAAATCAATAATAGTTTGCCATTCATTATTAAACTCTCTAAAACCCAAACCACTATAAGCCCTTGCATACTATCCTGCTTCTTTACCAACATGTCCATTAAGATTATCACCAATAAAAATCTTTTCTACAAGTGGTATGCTCTGAATCAATCCCTTTATATCTATCCAAAATTTCTCCTTAAGATTTGCTTCTACCCCTACTTGAGGTGCATAAGCACTAACCACATTGATAGTATCCCTCCCCACAATCATTCTTAAAGAAATGATTTTGTCTTTGATCCTTTTGACTTTCACCACATTCTTTTTTTAATCATTATCAACGATAATACCTGCTTCGTTCCTTATACCTATCTTTTCTGTGTGCCAAAGTTTGGATCTATTAGTAAATTCAAAAGCCTTCTCTCCAACTTTTTTTAGCTCCTTGGAGGCATAAAATATTAATAGTTTATTTGTCCATTACTTTCACTACGTCCTCAATTTACTATACAGGGTCCCAATGTTCTAAGTGCCAAACCTACTCTTGCTTTCATGAACTAACTTCTTTAACCGCCTCCGTCCATAAAAGTGTGGTATCTCTTACTCATTTAACACTACCTTTGGGTGACAACACAACGGCTCTTGCTCACTTCTCACCATACTCAAACCATATAGCATTACTTCCAGGTAACGATCTAGCAATAGCACTATTTTTTCATGGATTCATGTCATAAAAGATTCGATAGAGCTTTATGTTGGTTGCAAAGGGCTTAACACAATTCTTCTCCTTTACTCAGGTTTGGGACCGGCTATGCAACATATACAGAGTTCTTTAGTTTACAAAAAACAATAAAAAAGCTTTTAATTCTAATAGGAAAGTTCCCAATAAAGCTCTTCGTCTTTAATTTGTTTGTAAATAACTAGTAAACTTCTGAAAAGTAGTTCTAAATTTATTAAATTAAAGTTATAAATTTTTGTTAACTAATTATTAGTGGAGTAATTCGTTTCACAATTACGCAGCAAGAATTTAACAACTTAATCATAACAAACTTAAAAAATTTACCAATCCCCTTTTTTTTTTTTTGCCAACTTACTAATCACTTGCAAATGGATATTAATTACAACTTCCTTGTAAAAAAAAAAAAGCTAACAATTTTTTAATAGTTATCTGGTAAAGTACTAATTAATTGAACCACTCTATTAGAATAAGTTAACAACTTTATTCTTAAATTGACATTTTCTTTTAAACATGTTGGAGATTAAATATATATAGAATAATTTGCACTATGTTAATTCTTGGATTAAATGGCTTGATGATCATATGTTTTTTTTAGTAACTGAGATGTTGAAGGTTCAATTTTCAGCAAAGCCACTTTTTTAATATTTACATATGGATTATCTAATGCCATTTCTAGGTGTTTTTAATTATAGCTCCAAGTGTTAAAAAAAAAACATGTTTAACAAATATATGGAAATATACTTTTTGCATCTCTAGATGAGCTCTCTGCGTGTGACGTGACATGTAAATGTTTCTGAGAGTAGTTGCCACCTTGCTATAATAAAATTGTTAATGCTCATTGAATAGTTGCTAGTAAAGGTGCTCAGTTTACAAGCACCTTATGAGAATTTGTCAACGAAGCTTTCGATCTTTATTTGCAAATGATTAGTAAACATCTAAAAAGTAGTTGTAAATTTATTGTATTAAAGTTACCAGCTTATACTTCTAAACCTAATTTTAATGTACTCTGCATCTCAATGGGGCATTGTTTGATGAGGAGATATAAAATTTTTTGTACAAAACTATTTTCTGACTAAAGCTGAGGTCATGGTAACTATAATTTGATGAGAATGTAGCTAAAGAATTGTAATAAGAGTGTAGTTGCAGAATTTTTATTTAATTATTCCGGAATTAATGTCTCAATAGTGTAAAAAACGTCTCGTGTATAACATGGTAGTACATGCTAGTTAACACAACAAGCATGCGTTTGAGAGTTTCCTCCTTTGTACAATCAAAATAAACATTCTTTAGTTATGTTTAGAAGATGTAGAAGAACGTCACAAGAAGTTAACATGAGTGATTTTCAAATTAAAAAAATATTTAATTGAAAAAGATATTGACCACAAGAATTTTAAAAGACATTTTTTTCCCCTAAATACATGTATCCCATTAAAAGAAAAACCTATTATCTGATATTTAATGTAGACACCTTTCCAATAGTACTGGGAAAACGGGCCTGCCCGGCCCTGCAGGGCCGGCCCGTGACGGGCTCGGGCTTAAACGGGCCAGCCCGTTTAAGCCCGAGTTCCAAAAATAAGTCATTTTTTCAAGCCCGGCCCGTGAGATGACGGGCTCGGGCTAGCTCGCGGGCTTTTGGTCTTTTTAATTAAAATAATTTTTTTATTTTTTTGTATATTTTATCAAAATAATAAAAATGAAACAATAAAAATTACTAATAAAATGTATAAATATAAATAAAATTGAGTCACAAATATAAACATTATCATGTCTAACACATATTACAGTATAATAAAGTCTATTGAATAAACAAACTAAATAGATGACAGACATAAACAACTAAATAAGCATTAAATTCAGTAGATAATTACAATGCGGATGATCTAGTTTGATTATAAATAATTAACAAAAAAGTTTAACTAACAAACATAGTATACATAAAGAATAATCATTTATCATACCGACAAAAAAGAAAAGAGTCCATCATTCTTAGTTCTAAATTTGTTTCTACTATAAAAATGATATAGATCTTTATTTTAGTTTAAAAGATTTTTTGATCAATTATATTTCAAGTATAAAAAATATGGGAGAATGATAAATAAAGACTGTAAAAATTATAGATACAGTATTTTAATAGGTTTTGACAACTTATAAATAACAATATATTTTTATGAATATACCTAGTTTTAAATTTTGCAATTTTCATGTTTTTTTGGTTATTTTTCCCACAACTATAGTGATTCTTTTTTTCTTTTTGTGAATGCTATCTATGTGAGCTGTCAAGATAAGTAAAACTAAGAGTATGCTATGTTTAAAATGTTAGGGTTTTCTTTTTTAAGTTAAGAAAAAAGGACAGAAATTAAAAAAAAAAAATTGGCGGGCCTAAACGGGCCGACCCGCGGCCCTACAGGGCCGGACCGTTTATTTTTCGGCCATACAGGGCTGGCCCTTTTAAGCCCGACTTCTCTTTCAAGGCTCCAAAATATAAGCCCGGCTCTCGACTTAAACGGGCTTAAACGGGCCGGCCCGACGGGCCCAGCCCGTTTTCCCAGCTCTACTTTCCAATACAAATTTAAACAATAATTTATTAGAAGTATTTTGTCTCAACCGGTAAATAAATATTTTTTTTTGGGTAAAGAAAGAGGTCTAAGGCTCCAAAAAGTAACTCAAGGCAAAACAACTCCAGAAATTCATCTCAAACCTCAACAAGTCCTCCTCTTCATCATCCCTAATCCTAGAGAGAAAAGCCATCTTTGACAGAGTAGAGATCTTGCCATTCCATAGGATTTGATTAGGAATATTAGTAAAAGAAAGAAGAGAACTCAAGACTTTTTGGGGCCGAGAACTCAAGACTTTATTATCAATAAGAGGAGAGTGCAGGGAATAAACCGGAGAACAATTTCATTGCACGGGATTCCAATTGAAAGGATTTTGCTGTAAGGGGCGGTTGGATAATACAGAAGAGCTCGCTTCCACATTCCGGTTAGGATGAATGACAATGAGGTCTACATTTTCAAATATTTCTTTCCAAATCCATGAAAAATTATAAGGTCTTTTCAATAACAAAGGTTTGAGGTGATCAATATATGTGATCTTCAACGAAGCTTACGAGGATAGGAGACAAGAAGCCGAGGCAAATTTACGTAGCAGCTAGAGCTGTTTTGAAAGTTATGGGATTTCGTGGTATTGTGCTGATTTCAATGAATTTTTTTCTAGCCCACATGATCTTTCCTTTAAAAACTCACATGATCTTTCCAATAAAAAAAGAGCAAGAAAAAATCCCATTGCCCCACCTCAATTAAAATAATAATAATAAAGGAAAACTGATGCCCCACCCCGGTTGCCCTCAAGGCTAACCCTTCCCTCCTCATTTGATTAGCAAAACAAAAAACTGTGTTGGGTTATATAAAACTATTTAGTCTCTATATGATATCCCTCTCTCCCAATTCGCCTCCTACCAATTCAGTTCCCTTCTAATTACCTGAAATATGAGTTGTGATCCAAACGGTAATTGCCCTTTTATGTGTTCCTCACCTCCTGGCAATCATGCGCCACCTTATCTCCCGGCGCACGTTAGCCGCCCACCCTACCTAAGCGGTGGTGGCCTCCCCATCGCTCAAGATCTCATAATCAGCCGCACACCACTCCCACCACCACCCCTTTAACCCTACACCCGCAACCCAACATGTCACCATTCCCCACTTTTTCTTTCTCCGCCGCCACCACCACCCCCTCTTCCCAAAATCCTCTCTTTCCTCTCACTATCCTGCGCCGCCCTCCTTGTCATTTACCCCTTTGCCCTAATCCTCCGCCACCTCCGCCATAAGATCTGAATCTCTGAGGATAACGGTTTGTCTCCTCCGTCTTGTTTTTTCCATGGCTTCTCCTCCTTCTTCTCCGGTTGATTCCTCCACCACCACCCCACCTGCCGATCCTCCCACCGCTGTGCCTCTCTCGGTTGCTGTTCCCCCTGCTCTGCCCTCTTCGCAGCCTTCGTCATCCTCTCGCCGCCTTCCGCCGCCGTGCTGGTCTGCTGAGGAGACCGTCGCTCTCATCGAAGCGTACCGTGACAAGTGGTATTCTCTTGGCCGGGGTAATCTCAAGGCCACGCATTGGCAAGATGTCGCCGATGCTGTTACCTCCCGCTGCCCCGGGGCGTCGCCGCCCAAAACCGCCGTGCAGTGCCGTCACAAGATGGAGAAGCTCCGGAAGCGGTACCGCACGGAGATCCAACGCGCGCGTAACATGCCTGTTGCGAGGTTCAATTCCTCTTGGGTTCACTTCAAACGGATGGATTCCATGGAGAAAGGTCCCTCCCCTGTCAAACCTGAGAACGATTCCGATGATAGCCCCGATGAGTTTGATGGCGATGAGGATAATGACTTGTACGAGGAATTCAGAAGTGGCAGTGGGTCCAATACGAGGAGCTTGAATAAGTTGTACCGGAATGGGATGAGCGGCGGCGGCAGCACCGTCAATGGCAGCGGAGGATTTCGGATTCGAATTCCGGATGGGGTAAGCATTGCACAACCTGGGAATTCCAAATTGTATGGGAAAATTTCTGATCAGAAGTACAACTATAACAATAACAACCCTGGTTCAAAATCTGGGCATGGCTTTAATAATCCCAATTATGAAACTAGGGTTTTGAAAGAGAGGAGTGGACTGGGGAAAAGAGAAAGAGAGAGGGAGAGAGATCCTGTGAGTGAGATGGTGTGTGCAATTAAGGTTTTGGGAGATGGGTTTGTGAAGATGGAGCAGATGAAGATGGAGATGGCGAGGGAGATTGAGAGTATGCGAATGGAGATGGAGATGAAGCGTACGGAGATGATTCTGGAATCGCAGCAGAGGATTGTGGAGGCATTTGCAAAAGCAGTTTCAGAGAAGAAGACAAAGAGAATGCCTTCATCACCTTCAGAATCATAGAGAGATCAATGGATGGGTAACGTATAGGGTTTTTTTTTGGACGTTGTAAAGTGATGATGGAGCATTGCTAGAGAAGCCAATGAGTTCACTTTATCATTATCATCTGTATGTGAGTTCAGTTCAGCTCAGCTCAGCTGTGTTTCTTCTTTGTTTATTAGAGTTAGGTCTTTGCTTTTCTGTCTCTTTTTTGGATTTCATTTGTCTTTTATTCTTTCTTAGTAGGGAAAACTTGATCAGTTTAAGATTGATGATGGATAATATGTGCTTAGTACTTAAATCAAATTATTTATAAATAAACATATATTACGAGAACTAATTGAATCTGGCATGAAAATGTGAGGCATAATCCTGCATGATTATGGCTCACTATTTTGCCCTCTCCTTGTAGTTGTAACTCTTACAGTCGGAATTGTATGGCTCAACCAAAACCAACTGCTCTCTTTTAAGCCCTGTCTTAAACAAGAGGCTGCGAGTTTGACTCTTTGTGGGCATGATGGGTGACGGGGTAAAAAAATGACAGATGGTTAGAATTTTTAGGGTTTGATCATTAGAGTATGAGCAAATGCTTATTCTGAGCGTTCTTTGACGTTCTTGACATTTCCCAATTAACACTTGCGTTCACTATTGCATTATATCTTTCTAGTGGTTTTAGGCATACAGGGAAGATTGTAAAACTGTGAATGGAGATTTGTTGTTTTTCCCTTTTTGTTTTGCCTGAAGAGTTTCTTTCTTTGTTTTTTTTTTTTTTGGTTCAATCGCCTGAGGAATTTATTTTACTTTATTTGCAGGCACTTGTTTCTCATTCCTGTTTTGGAATTTGTGTCTAGAAAAAGGTTATGATAAAGATGATTAATAAATAATAATACAACGTCCTAACCTCATTGTTATTAATTTTATTAAGATAAGATTCTCACACGCGCACACGCACTTGCACTCATTGTGCCAATTGGACATGTCTACAGTGAGATAAATGAATGAAAATTTTAAAATATCTTTGTTAATTATATGTATTAGCTACAAATATTATTAATGAAACATGTAAGGTATTGGTAAAAGATAGACAAAGTTATTTGAAGTTTTACATTTATAATCAAATTAAATGTCAAAATAGTTTTTATGTTAAGGATTGAGGTAGTATTGTTTAATAGCAATTAATTATAAACTCAACAAAAACAAGACATATGTTTGATTGAAGAATTTGATATAATAGATATAAAGAACTTGATCGTATTTTTTTTAAAAACTATTTTTGAAGAAAATTATAATTATGGCTCTTGTGTTATCAGACTTTGTTGCTCTATTGACATTAGGCATCTGAGGCTTTCTTAAGCGTAAGGTTTGAAGTTCACATTCTTTCTTAGAAGCATAACAGGTGTGAGTGAAAGGGGGGAAAATTTTTTGCTCTCACTTTAAATCCAAACACGTCTTATGACTCATCTCTCCTGCATGGGTAGTTAGGGTGTGAATTGAATTAAATAATTGACTCTTGTGTAGACGGTTGTAGCGTTTTGCAGGCCTTCCATAAAATGCAATTTTCTCGACTTCATAAAGTTTATTGCATTTTTTTTTCATATGCAATGCCTTTCAGCTGTGCGGATCAACTTGTATTATTGTCTGTATAGTAGACTCAAAAAGCATTGTTCTCTTAGAAACAACTTCACTCGCATCGCTTTGATTTAACTTATGATGGATGACTGTCGATTGGATTTTTTTTTTTCTGCGAGAATCTCAAAAAAATAATTTTGAATTTTAAAATTTTAAATTTGTCTTATTTACTACACTTTAATAATAATTAACAATATTTAAAAAGTAAATAACAATATATTTTTGTAGTCATTTTTTATTTAAGATTTTAAAATTTTAGAGGTATTTTTTTAGGATTTTTTTTCCCTTTAAAAGCTTAATAAAGTTATTAGCAACAAATTTGATGTTTTAACCATTTTTCGGGTGTATAGTGATAATGCAGAGCCAAAAGGGCAGTGTCTTTGTTGTGTCAAGATGTTCCTAAAGAGGCGATTTTCTTTGAAAATGCAGAGCCATTGCTGCAAAACTCTTAACATCTTGCTTGAATCAAATTAAATGATACCACCCCAGTTCCTATTATAAGACAGTCTTAAGAAGAATTGAATTCTTCTTATTAGAAGTCATCAAGTGGGATATCATTTTTTTAAAAAAGAAATTAGGGTCAAGGTCTAATTTTGTCCGCAAGTCTTTATTCGGGAGCTGTGGATATCCAAAAGTTTTTTTTTAACCATTTTTCGGGTATATAGTGATAAGCATATTTACGTATTGCAATTTATTTCTCAGAGTAGATGGAGTGAATGGAAGGTTGCAAAAGAAGGGATGGGGCTGGGGGTGCAGAGGTGAAGGAGTGAAGGGAAGATGATGATACCTACGTGCTAAAGCCATCTAAGCATAACTGAGCCAATAAACAGTTAAAATTAACTTTGCTAACGGGTAGGTGGGAGCAATATTGTTACGTTTTGATAACTCTTGGGATGACATTCAAAAAAAAAAAAAAGCTCGGGTAAAAACTTCGGAGAAAAATTTGGACCTTAATCTTTAAAACCAACCCATTTAAAGTTTGATATAATTTTCTTCGTCATTTCTGCAGATGTAATTTATGATTTAAAATATGAGTAAATTTAACCTTTTTTAAATCTTCAAACAAATTTAATAATTTAACCATCTTTATTTTTTTGGTGAGGAGGTTAGAAGTACCTTATAATAAATAAGGATACCACAGGGTAAGTTACCGCCTCGACTCTGATGAATTTCTCTGCTACATCCACAACAGAGCTGTGCGGCAGCCTCATGTGAAACAACAGCATTGTCGTCGAAGCAAACTCTTAAAATATTAAGTTGCATTTAGCATCCTAAAATTTTTTTTTAGATGTATCTAATATCTTGAAGTATTTTGTAGTGCATTCAACATTTTGAAGTATTTTTTAAGTGATTGCGTATAGCCTGCTGTAGCAACGGAATCAGGGAGAGTATACAGAAAAGACAGTTATTATATTAGTATTAGATTAGTATTAGTTAGTGATCTCGGTTCAGTGAGATTTTTTTTGTCTTGGTGTTGGGTGCACCAAAAAATATTTCACGACGCACCTAAAAAAACATTTTAGATACTAGATGCATTATAAAATAGTTTAGAATATTAAATGTATTTAAAAAAATATTTTAGAATGTTAGATGTAGCAAACAAAAAAAACAAAATAAATCTGGACCAATTTGATTTGAACGGTCCAGATGATGAAATAAGCACCTAGGCCAGTTTCACAATTGACTTTCTCAGTCTATGAGGCAGAAACGAAGTAATGGCTATGCATTTTCAAAGAAAATGCGTCTTTAGGAACATGTAGACACAACAAAGACACTGCCCTTTTACCACTGAGTGTTTAAATCGACTAGCTGTGGGGTCGTTTTAACTTAACCAAGATCAGGGATTCGATCCCGTTTGGGAACGCAGCAGCGTGGAGTGATAGGCAAACCATCCGTTAGGGGATCCTTTATAGGTGCCGTTCCAAATTAGTCTAGGAATGTTAAAAAGCCTGAAAGATGGCATTGGCCTGGGATACCGGGAGAGATCACTTAAAAAAAAGAAGAAAAAGACACTGCCCTTTTGGTTGAGTACTCCTTTTCAACTTCCACTGTTGCAACTTTTCAAAACTTTTACGTTGGTAAAGACCAAATATCTAATTGCAGAAGAACACAAATTGGATAAACGCCAAAAGAAGAAAAGGAATTGCCTCTACAAACTCGCATATAATAATAATGATAATGATGATGATGATGATGATGATGATGATGATGATGATGATAATAATAATAATACACATGATCAAATGAAGCTTCTATGAGCTCTCAAAGTCAAATCTTCGCGCCAAACTCTTAACATCTTGCTTGAATCAAATTAAATAATACCACCCCAGTTCCTATTATAAGACAGCCTTATTAGAAGTCTTCAAGTGGGATATCAATTTTTTTTTTTTTTAATGAGGGTCAAGGTCCAATTTTATCCGCAAGTCTTTATTCGGGAGCTGTGGATATTCAAAAGTTTTTTTAAAACCAATTTTTGGCTATATACTGATAAGCATATTTAAGTATTGCAATTTATTTCTCAGAGTGGATGGAGTGAATGGAAGGTTTCAAAAGAAGGGGGTGGGTTTGGGACTTGGGAGTACAGAGGTAAAGGAAAGAAGGGAAGTTGATGCTGACATGGCACTGCCACGTGTTAGAGATGAGTAAACTAAAAAAAAAAATTCCAGTACCTACAATTTAAAATAAAAACTTTCGGGATAAAATTGGACCTTAATCATCAAACTTGCTCCCATTTAAAGTTCCATATAATTTTTCTTGTTCGCTTCTCCATATGTAATTCATGATTTAAAATAAGAGTAAATTTAACTTTTTTTAGTCTTCAAACAAATTTAATAATTTAACCATCTTTGTATTTTTGGTGAGGAGGTTAGAAGTACCTTATAATAAATAAGGATACCGCAGAGTAAGTTACTGCCTCGACTCTGATGAATTTCTCTGCTGCATCCACAACAGAGTTGTGTGGCAACCTCATGTGAAACAGCAACATTGTCGTCGAAGCAAACTCTTAAAATAATTTCGTCAATCTCTACGAGGCATGAACAGAGCAGAACAGCCATGTGCCTCAATTTTAGGATTCTTCATTTTTGTACTTTCCCACCACCTTCTCGTTGTGTGTTCACCATGAAAACAAATCAATGCATAGAAATAGGTGACTTTGACTTCAATCTCGTGATCAGCTTTTGCCTCCCAGAACCTGATTTTCATGGCCAGGGAACAACGTTTTATGTTCAGTTTCCGACGTCTCTGTTACCTTGTCTTCATCTTCTCCATCTTCTCCGTCATCTTAGTCCTCTCTTGGTGTCACTTTTCTGGCCAATGCTATTATCCAAACCAATTATTATCAACAGAAAAGAAGTCAAATTATAATAGCAATCAACCAATCATCAACCTCCTTTCATATCCTTTTGCATGGAACCGCCTTGCCTTTTCATCAGAATTACCACCTCCAAGGCTCTTAAAGATTGCACTTTTTGTCAAGAAATGGCCTCGGAGATCTCACGCCGGCGGGCTCGAACGCCACGCCCTCACACTCCACCTCGCTCTTGCCAGAAGAGGCCATGAACTTCACATCTTCACGACGTCGTCGTCGTCGCCGCCGCCTTCGGATTCATCTCTTCCAGAATATGAGCTTACCAACTTGCATTTTCACCTCTCAGAACCAACGCCTGGTGGTTACCTTGATCAAGCTTCAGTTTGGGAGCAATTTCAAGCAGAGAACTCAACAGGAAGACCATTTGATGTGGTTCATACTGAGAGTGTTGGTCTTAGGTACACTCGATCACGCTATGTTAGTAATTTGGCTGTCTCTTGGCATGGGATTGCATATGAAACCATTCATTCTGATATCATTCAAGAACTTCTGAGAAGTCCCCAAGAACCACAGGCGAAAGCATTGACCGAAAGGGCAATGAAGGTTGTGTTGCAATCTTTTTATTGTGGATTAGTATATTTTATTGCTATAACATCTATGGCCTTAATTGGGTAATCAGTTTGATTTTACATACTAACGCCTCTATTGGTTCAACTAGAAAGTTCTTCCCAGAAAATGACACTTACTGAGAAGTAACTTCCCAGAAGGTTAATGTATAAGTTGTTTGGTTTATTTTGTATTTATTGGGAAATTACAATTATTTTTTAAAGAAATATATTATCTGTTTATTCGTAAGACAAAAACACCATAGAAGTAGAATTTACCTAGTTTTAAGGAAAGTATGAGGCTTAATTTTTGGAAAGTTAAATTTTTTTAGTGAACCAAGCAATATGTATTTTACTACTACTTAAAAAGTCCAACTTCTCCCCATTGAGGCCACCATATTGGCGCCTATTTAAATGTGTGGTTTTTGATAGATTGACTCACACACACAAGGTCTACTGACTACTGGGCAATGTCTCCCAATCTTCCTATCACAAGGCTGATTAAATAGGCCGACATAAGAGTAGGGCATTTGTGCTATATTAGTTAATAATTTATTTATTTTGCATTGATATTTTTAGTTGAAGTAACTAGAAAGTAATTTGATAAAGGAAAAATAACAAAAAAGGAAGCTGAAAATTATTAAATCCCAAATCAAGTATGATAACAACACTTTATTTCGTGTTGACAACATTAATTTGTAAATGACAACAAATTTTTGTTGACATTCTCATTTAATATTTAGTAATTTTCAGCTTCTTTTTTTTTTTGTCATTTTCTTTTAATAAATTCTAAATACAACTTCCTATTTCACTGAGCATTCTCTAGCTATTTCTTGATTCTCCTCTCACTAGAGTTCTCTCCTAATACTATAACCTTAGGAGCCTAACAGGTTGTATCATAGCCCTAATCTATTAAACTCCATCATGATTATCCTAGAATCATAAGGTTCAAATATGCACAATTACTCACTATCTTGAATATTATCAGCAGGTTGTTGAAGAGGTAAAGTTCTTCCCAAATTATGCACATCATGTCGCCACTAGTGACCATGCTGGAGACATCCTGAAGAGGGTCTACATGATCCCAGAAGAAAGAGTTCATATTATTCTCAATGGGGTGGACCAAGATGTTTTCAAACCAGACATCTCCAAAGCAAAAGAGTTCAAGCAGAGGCATAACATTCCAGATTCTAAGTCACTGATTATAGGACTTGCAGGTAGACTAGTCAAAGACAAAGGACACCCATTAATGTTTGAAGCTTTAGAGCAGATTATATCAGAAAACAGGACGTTCCAAGAAAATATCATGGTTCTGGTTGCTGGAGATGGTCCTTGGGCTGCAAGATACAGAGATTTAGGGCCGAATATAATGGTTTTGGGGCCACTTGATCAAGCTGAACTGGCTTGTTTCTATAATGCTATTGACATATTCCTAAACCCTACTTTAAGAGCACAAGGGTTGGATCACACATTGTTAGAAGCAATGCTTTCTGGGAAGCCAGTAATGGCTACTAGGCTTGCAAGCATTGTAGGGTCTGTAATTGTTGACAAGGAAATGGGTTATACATTTTCTCCAACAGTGACTTCATTAAAGAAGGCCATCTATGAGGAATGTGGTGGGGGTAGGGAAGTTTTAGAGAGGAAAGGTCAGGTTGCTCTGCAAAGAGGTCTGAAATTCTTCACTGCTACAAAAATGGTGGCTGCTTATGAAAGGCTTTTTCTTTGCATATCAAACAGAAACAATGGGAACAATCTTTGTCAGTATCAACCGCCAAGTAATTAGATGAGCATAGAAATAAAGAGCAGCAGGATGGCAATTCCATTCAAATGTTCATTTTGCATGGACGTAGGAATCCTGGTTCCTACATAGGAATCTTTGTAAAGAGTGAGATTGGCAATTTCAGATCGTCTTGAACAAACCAGTTTTTCAAAGTGCCCTAAAATCACGTCTCATATAGGTTTCAGCAATTCCATTTGACGCTTTCAACATTATAATTACAATTAGAAGCAAGGCACCTACTGCACGATAAATGCAGAATGAAAGGATTAGATATTATAAATATATTTATTATAAAAAGGTAGCTAGATTTGATTTAAAAATGACAATAAAACAATAAATAAATGAGTAACTAAGGGTTATAGAGGGCGAAATGTTAATGGGCAAAGGATATCACGATCTAACTGCAGCAGCTTATAGCAGCAAAATTTTGGGGAAAATTTGTCAGAAAAGCAAACTGTTCCAGCCTAAAATATCTCATAATTCTTAGATAATAGGGAAGAATAAATCGTTTTTTTTTTTTTTTTGGGAGAGAGCTCTTTAACCTTGAAATTAAATGCCTGCAGTGATAGGGAGAGGATTCCTGAGATTATCCTCGCAAATCAAGGTCTCATACCTCAGTATGAGCTTCTTCCTCAATGCAAAGTTTTGGACTTCAACACAATCATTCTTGCAAGCGCATCTTCAACTTTATTAGCATAAGGTGATGTATATGATCCGCATTCCTTTAGAAGCATGCTTATGGCAAGCACAGTGAAGTTGCTCAGTGATATTAAATTGCAGAATGATTCATACTGCTCTAGTAGTGTACAACAGTAAAATCTTATCCTGAAAAATTGGCTTTCGTTTTGGGGAAAAGAGAGATTCAGACTTCATCCTTTTCATCAGTTAGCTACACAAATATCATCATCCAACGGCAGCAATGGCAAGAGCCGATTCATTCATAGTTACAGGGGTAACTGAGTAAGATTAGACAGATTACATTTACAGCGTAGAAAATGATACATAACTAACTACTGAGAGCAGCAGGACCATCTCCGACACAGGAGAGGTTACTGCAAACCTTGCTTAGTAGTTGAGATATTTTCTCCAAAACTTCCATATCCTTAGATAGAACATAACGAACATATAGCCAATCAAAGTATATTCCTCCTTCCACTCATTGTGATTAGCTAGGCTGATAAAGAATTCAGGTCCAGAATCAACCCACGAAACAGATCCTCTTCTTATGGGAGGACAGAACTCTATGGGAGCATTCCTCATTATAGATCCTTGGGCTTCAAGTGTTCCTGGAATTAGCGCGAAAGGAAGACTACGTAGAGCCTACATCAGAAACTAAAACCATAAGCACAAGTGTGAAGGTAGAAAACTCAACAGCTCAGAGGTAAGTCATATAATTATTAGGGAAATATATAAATACGATCTTTCAACTTTGAACCATTGGCGAACAATCCCAGCAGTGAAGAGCTGGACCTCTTTTAGTCTTATAAGGGGCAATTCAATGAAAACTCTGGACAAGAATATCCCTTGACCAAATCTCTATTATTTATACAATAGCTTTCGGTTTCTTTACCGTAGTTTATACAATATTAGTATCAAAACTCGTTACCAAATGTTCAAGGCTAAGAAACAACATTATCTCATGGGCTCCTTGAAAATTATGCCTCACATTCTATAGTAAGAATATGCCCAAATCACAAGTTTATGACGAAAAACATACACTGCTCTACCCTGAGTCTCCGGAAGGAACTTTGTAGATTGCTCTTATGTGGAAAATAAAATTCTTGGATAATATGGCCTAACATAAATTGAGGTTATTTCTACGCAGCTCTTAGCTCTAACGTGAATTGAGAAACTGCAATAACGAAAGCAAAGTCAGACTTTCAATTTACAATTGCAAAATAACTTCAATGGTTTCTTTAAGGCAACTAAGTATCATTTGCGTCCGGAAGGAATCACTTCATTTTTCAAGGTACTTTTAAGATTATTATATCAAGATTTCAGCTACAAAGAGGAATAAATACTAATCTTTGAAAAAGTAGCCGAATCTTAATATGCAGACTCAATAAATCCTCGGACTTTCGATTTACAACTGCAAAATAACTTCAATGGTTTCTCTAAGACAACTAAGTATCATTTGCATCTAGAAGGAATCACTTCATTTTTTAGGGTATTCTCGAGATTATCATATCAAGATTTCAGCCATAATAATCACCAATCTATGAAAATGTAGCTGAATCCTAATATGCAGATTCAATAAATCCTCAGTCACTTAAAATCACATATGCAATCAAGAAAATAATGGCAATAAAGGGATACTTAACAAGACAATAGGTGGAAAGTAATGCAACAGGCATGAGAAGGTATGATTAAAAAAACAAGGCCATCAACATTTTGCTTCATCTATCACCTGCTCTGCTGATCCCAGAACCTTCCATTAGCATCTCCATAGTACAGCAAGCATCATGGTCAATTGCAGTTGCAAAACTCTCAATCTTCTAAGAGCGCTATGCTTTTATAAAATGGACAACTAAGTTCATACAGTCCAGCACACTTCACCATAACAATTTCCCTTATCCACCAAACTGCCACTTCATTCTTCAGTCACTTTCCATGTCTGTCCCATCACATCTTGACTTTGTTAGAGCTCTAGTGCCCATCATAACATTTGCTAATTCTTGGATTGTGCAAGATGTGCTCTGCCGCATTTTATCAGTAAGTATTTCAACTTGATCTGAAAAACCTAAACCCAAGAGCCTATTCCTCATCAACTCAATGGTAGTAACATAAGGAGGTATTCCTTCATCAATCATCATCTCAAAGTACTTACAAGCCTCCTCCAGCATGCCCTTCTTCTTGCACAATCCATGAACCATGACAGCATATGTTGAAACTGAAGGATGAAAACCCCAACCTAACATCTTCTCCCAAACTTCATTTACTTTATCAAACCTTCCAATCCTGATCAACAATTTCAGCACCATATTATAGGTATGACGGTCAGGAAGACAGTTTTCTTTTTCCATCCTGGATATCAACCTAAGAGCCCTATTGACCTCACAATGATCACAATGGTAAGCTAATACTGAGTTATAACTCCAGGCATCTGGCTGGACACTACTAGCAATCATTTCATCCAACAATTCATAAGCTTCTTCCACTTTCTCAAGTTTACAAAGTCTCTTTATAATATGATTGTATGCATACACATTTAGCAAGAGGTTACCTCTTTTCACTCTACTGAGAACCCTGAAAACTGAATGCAGATCATTCATATCACAATATGTACGAATGAATATTGAATATGTATAGGCATCTGGCTCAACTCCTTTTGACATCATATCTTGAAACAACTTGGTGGCTTCATCAACTTTACCTCCTTTGCATAGGGCCTCTAACAAGTTATTATAAGCAAGCAAATCCACAGTACAACCTTCTACAACCATTTCATCAAACAACTCAAGTGCTTTCTCTGCATCACCAATTTCACCCCATCCCCTTATTAAAATGCTGTAAGTCTTAGCATTTAACTTGAACCTACTCTTAGTTTGATAAAAAAACTGTTGAGCATGTTTGACATGTTTCTTCTTGCATAAAATAAACAAAAGCTTATCAAAATCATGAATATTTGGCTTAACTCCAAATTCTTCCATTCTAATGAAAGCCCGTATTGCACCACCTGGCAAATTAGCACGGCTATATGCCCCAAAAATGAGCCAGAAAAGTTCACTCCTAATTTCACAACAACGGGTCTCTCTGATTTCTGTGAGAAAGTCCCATAGTATGGCAAATTGATTGCCTGCTCCCAAGATTTCCACCAAAATGTGGGAGCTCTCAGCACTAGGTTGAAAATCTGGAATTGACTTAGCCCAAATAAAGAACCTGTGAGCTGAGAAACAAAGATTCTTGCACCGTTTCAAGACCTGCTCAACCAAATTTGTGGATATTTGAGTTGAAAATGGATGCAGAGAGTGCTCCAAATCATGGTGGGGATCACGGTGGTCACTGAGCACACGAGAAATCTCATTCACAAGATCTGATGATAAGGTGTAAGAGGAAGAGTGATAACAATGGGGTTTATGCTGAAAGAAAGACCACAAGGTTCTATGCTTAGAGAAGAATAAGCGTATGGCCATTTTGGAATTAGATTATGTTTGATCTAGAGCTTATTCCAGCACTCAACATAATTGTCCTCAGTTGTTTTAGCAAAAACACCATCAGAAACAACTATTGGATTTGGAATACTTTTCAAAGCAAATGCCCATCACTCATGTACAATAATAACATAATACCCCTGCATATGAAGTAAGAGAAAATCCGTTAACTAAACCAATAGTACAATTATGGAATGATTCTTCAAATGAATGTACTGCACAACATTGTTTTTTCACTGAACTTCTATTTTCGCCAACTAAATAAGATGAAAATTGGCTGCTATACATTAACAGTTTGAATTAAGCCTAACTTTAGCAAAAATAGTGAGCTTGAGGGATCTGAGAGAAATATTGGGCCTGAGACATTAGCCCTATGGTAGAAAGAACTATACAAACCAGAGATATCAGTTGGCAGAAAAAGGGGAAACTAGTGTAATGAATTCCGACATATAGTGGTGGTGTGGGTGTGCATGGGGGTATGGAAAAAGTGTGAGACTCTTGAATGCTAGCGTAGGGTGAGAGGTTTCATTGTGTCTTTTGTTTCCCTTTGTTCTGTCTTTGTGGGCTATGGAAAAAGTGTGAGACTCTTGAATGCTAGCGTAGGGTGAGGCCTGTGAGGTTTCATTGTGTCTTTTGTTTCCCGTTGTTCTGTCTTTGTGGAGGCATGGAAAAAGTGAGAGACTCTTGAATGCTAGCGTAGGGTGAGGTCTGTGAGGTTTGATTGTGTCTTTTGTTTCCCTTTGTTCTGTCTTGTACTACGTGCGTAGCTAAGCTGTGTATTCTGGTTCTAGTCGTTAATTCTCCCACTGAGGTTGAAGGCATAATCAGTGATTTTGCTTCAGTTTGATATTATCACAGCTTATATTAATATATTTCAGCAACGTTTCCATCAGAGATGAAATCATTTGGAGGCCCTCTACAATAGAAGATATGGTAGTGAATTTTTTCTGAGAAAGTAGCAAAACGTTTCAAGCTCTAATGAATTCCAATTCCATTGGTTAGAATTACATGCTATGCTGTCTCTTGCATTCCAATTTTGTGTTATGATCTAATAACAAAAGATGAGGAGATTTAGTGACTGCAGCTAGGAGAAATTATTACATATACTCAAAGTGCCAGCATATTTGTACTCTATCCACTCAAAACACAACCGTTCACCTGATATTCATCCTAGCTGTCAGCCACTTGTTTTATTGTAATAGTAACTAAGAAAACAGTGACTCTTCATTTACTTCTTTCTTTCCTACCCTCTTTTATTTTCTTCCTGCTGTATTCACCATTTCAATGTACTCTGCCAAGCACAAACAGCTAGAGGACCACGTAGGTTGTGCAGCGGGGTGAGACGAACATAGACAGAATAGAGTGCAACGACTAGCCTGTGGATGGGAAAACTTGCTTTCAATATTTGTATTGTCTCAAAGTTTTAGTTCAAGTTTTCAGTTTCTTTTTCCCCGTCCTTCTCTTAAATATGAAATCGAATAAATAAACCAAGGACTAACTCCGGTTCTTCCTTTTAGTTTATATTATTTTTCATTTTCAATCTATAATATTATTGTACCAGTTTATATGATTTTCTTTTTTTTATACAATGCCATTGTTTACTGAGTATCAATGCACTTCCGTTTCAATACAATTTAAGAATGTGCTTCGAACACATTTCTCTGTATATCAACAACCACAAAACTGGGTAAACATAAGGATTACAAGGCTGGAAATATTGAAAAACAATTTCAAATATGGGCAGCAACGAATCCAGTAAAAAAATAAGAAGAAAATAGAATATCCCACATCAATTGCACTCAAATCCAGATTTATACCTCCGTCCTAGACCAACGAATCAAGAATCAAGATTTGGATAAAAGGGGAAAAAAAATCATATGGGAAGCAATGAATCCACAATAGGACGACCCTTTAGACAAAATAAACATCATAAATCAGAGTAGATCAATTATATGCAAGAACCCAAGAAGCACCTCATTGTCCTTCATCTTAGACCTCCATAATCCAACCAAAGATTTCTTCATCCCTCCGCACGCATCATTGTCCTCCGATTACCAGTACCGGGATGTCGATGGCTAGAGAAAGAAGAGAGGAAGGGAGCCATGAATGGAGAGGAAAGAGAATAACCGAAAAAGGGTGTTGCTCGCCCTGAGGAAGCTCGCCGACAATGGCGATTGCTTATTCGGAGGAGCCAACAGTAAACGGAGAGGAGAGGTGGGCATGGCAGTCGCTCACCCAAAAGAGCAGAAACCCAGAAACAGGGACAGAGAGACTGGGGGTTAACGGGTGTAAGAATGAACGGTCAGGATTAAATTAGCATCGAGGATCAGGATTTGTGGCTCGTTGTTGATGTGGAGTCGATTATTAAAGGGTTTATAGTTAATAGGAAAAATGACAGATAAAGAAGATAGAATATATGATATTTTAATTTGAAAAGCTAAGAAAATTTAATGACAGAGAGAAGTCCTTCCCAAATTAAAATTTTAAAATTCAGTAAAATGATAAAAATTGTATCTTTTTTTTAAAAAAAAGCTCACCCCCTAACCGATGGCCGGCCACCACAGGCGATTGGCCGCTAGCACCAACCACCGGCGTGGTGGCTGCCAGTGGAGTTTTTTTGGTCACATTTTTTCTTTTGACCATGAGAATATTGCAAGAAAGTGGTGGGAGTGGGATTTGATCATACTACTCCTGGGTCATTTTGGCCAACAAAAAAGAAGATGACCATTGAGCCATCAAAAACTTATTAACTTTATAACGCAAACAAAAATATAAGTCGACTCTTTTGCTGTGACTCCAACCCGTGACAACAATTTACCTGGGGATGACAAATGTTAATTAAAAAATAACAAGTCTAAATTTGATATTAACAAAGTAACTTTTCCTGATACATAACAAAAAATAGCACGTGCATTAATTAAAAATGATAATAATTTATTTAAAAATAATATGTCTTTGTTGGAAAATGACACGTCTTTAGTAGAAAATGACAACAATTTATTTGAGAATGTATATGCTATTTCATGTTATGTATCAAGAAAAGACACATTGTTAATATCAAATTTAGACTTGTTATTTCTCAATTAAGACATGTCATTTCCACATAAATTATTGTCATTTTTAATTAATATACATGTTCTTTCATGTTATGTATCAGGAAAAAACACATTGTTAATATCAAGTTTAGGCATGTCATTTTTTAGTAAAAAGTGTCATTTTCAAATAAATTATTGTCATTTTTAATTAATGTACATGCTATTTCTTGTTATGCATCAGAAAAAATTGTTTTATTAATATCAAATTTAGACTTATTACTTCTCAATTAAGACTTGTCATTCTTAGATAAATTGTTGTCATGGGTTGGAATCACTTAAAAAAGTTAACTTATATTTTTGTTTGTATTATAAGATTAATAAGTCTTTGATGGCTCAATTGTCAATATCTTTTGTTGACCCAAATAACTAAGGGATAGTGAGATCAAATCTCACCCCTACCACTTTCTTGCAATATTTACATGGTAAAAAAAAAAATTCTTTGACAGAAAAACTCCACCGACAGCCACTGCACTAGTGGTTGGCATTAGAGCCCGATGGTGACTGTTGGCCGTCGGCGGCCAGTCACCGTCGGTGGTCGGCCACCAGTGAGGAGCTGAGCTTTTTTTAAAAAAAAAAAATACAAAGGGTATTTTTGTTATTTCACTAAATTTCAAAATTTCAATTTGAGAAGGACTTTCCTATCTGTCATTATATTTCCTTAGCTTCTCAAATTGAAATATTATATATTCCACCTTCTTTATCTGACATTTCTCCTAGTTAGTACATTGTTTTAAGAGTTTAATTGAATTTTGATTTTTGGTTCTATAGTTTCAAATCATATATTTTCGTCATTATAATTTCTTTGGTTTAAAATATTAGTTCTTATAGTTTCATAAGAATTTATTAGCTTGAGTTTAACCATGTTAATGCCATTTAGTATGTGAATAAAAACCAAAACTCGTATTACTGATTAAATTCAAAACTCATTAAAAATATAAATAAAAAAGGCTAAGAGTGTATTTAATACACTGAATTATTTTTACAAATACATTCAGCATTTTAAAAATTTTGAAGTTCATATTCACCATCATGAAGCTTTTTTCAGTTGCTTTCAACACCCTAAAGTATTTTCTGGTACAATTCTGATGCTGACAACTCAGATCCAAAATATTACATAAACTTATCTCCAAGCTATAAGCCAATCTTCAAGGATAACAAATCAGGAGAACCCACCAAGAATCCACTTTAAGTGTCTGCTTTAGCTTTACTTTAAGTCAAAGAGTGATTGTCTTGTATAATAATTAAAGGCATCTTCACTTTTATGTTATATGTCTGTCTAGAATCTTTGCTTCTGTGTGTATACAATTATTTTAGTTTGTTTGTCATAATGTAATTTTAGAGTCTTTATAAACCAAACTCTGCCAAGCAATTTTAATGTCGTCGTTAATTCCTCAAAAAAAATTTGTTAAATAAACGTGCATCAAGTATCCTAAAATATTTTTAAAGTTTTGAATGCACCTGAATTTTACTTTAGGTTGCTAGATTAATCGCCAAATACTTTAGGATACTGAACGTAATCAAAAACAAATTTCAAGATGCTAGATGAACCAAAAAAAATATTTTAAGATGTTAGACACATGTGAGCAAATATATCAAAGTGCTAGATGAACTTTAAGTCATAAAAAAGATAAATATGCTATAAAAAACAAAGAATTCATTGGCGAAAGAAATCTAAAGAACAAAAATCGATTTTGAATGGAAAATAAAAATCTGATTTCCAATACTTGAATTTCATGTTGTGCTTGCTTACTTTCAAATGTAACGAGTTGTGGATTAGAGGCTCTCTTTTTATAAATTAGTCATATGCTGAAAGGAGATAAAGAGAAGGATAATTAAGAGAAGGTTATAGAAGACTCATTCATCATTATAGAAATTAATCGTATTCAAATTATTTGATATTATCCACTGACGGCAAAGAAACCAGAAAAAAGGAGTGGGTTTTGACACATTGTGGCAGACAGGGTTACTTGGTAATGCGTGTGGGGATTGTTTGATGAATGATAATTTTGGTTGATTTAATAGGCATATAACATTTTTTAATTCTTTTAAAAATTTTATGTGTATTTTTATAATATTTTCTTCATTGATATATTTGCTGACCAATAAATATTGGTTGATGTTATGACCATGATATTCTCGCATCATTTTTAAAACATTCATGTGTATTTTTATATCCAAGCAAAGTTTATGATGTTATGTGTGCGTGGTTAAATACTCTATGAGTAAATTTGAACCTTAACCCCTATTAAAATAAGGGATAAATCACTCTTAATTAGTCTCTAATGAGTTGTAATTTTGATTTCTATATTTTTTCCGTTATTTTTATCTTTATTCTTTACACTGAGTAGGCTAACAAAATGATTGTGGGATCCAATGTTTGCAAAACACGATTTTTAAAAGTTAATTTTTAATGGATATAACTTTCTTAATTTGAATTCAAATTAAAAAAAAAATCTAATTTCTAATGCAATAAAGCATATTTAAAATTTTTTTGTAGTTTGAAATATATGATCAAAATAGTGGGTGAAGATCTTAAACATTTCAACTTTGATAGTGGATCAATGTCCTTACATATCACACAAGCTATAAATACTTTTGAAGTGAAAATTGTTTCATGTTTCATTTGAAAATCAATTCATTAAGATTTTCACTAACACGTATCTCACTAAAAGGTTTTTTTTCACATGAATATATGTTATTTTGAAATCTAGTGCTTCAATCCGGTGTGAAAAACGTTTCTTACCTTTACCCATTATTTTGATCATATCTTTTAAAATATGATTAAGGTGCATAAATATCCTGAAGTAACCACATATGAGCACTCAGTACCTGAATTTTTTTTTTTGTTTTTTTGGCTTTTATATGTTCTTAAAGTTTATTTTTATAAGAAATATGCCCTTGCTATTATTTATAATTAAATTTGACTGTTAAATTATGTAATTTAAACCATATTTTTAACGATCAAACTTAACGGTGGATGAAGGTTTAGGGCAAAAATGCTACGAAATAAAACTTCCTGAGTATATTATAGCCACACAAAAAAAAAAAAAAGTTTACAGATGCTGGGTGCTTCTTCGTAAATACTTTCAGATCTTAACCCTTTGAAATATAAAGCCTTTTTGAATGGGTTTTGTTACATTAAACCTACATTCGGAAAGCTCTCCAACAATAGGTCATTTGCTTGATACTCATTATGTTTCTTATTATAAGAAACGTCTATAAAAATCAAGTAGTAGGTCAAAATGTTAGTTAAAAGTAATAAATATGTAAGATATATATACCCTTTTTTTTTCAATTATACCCTTATTTAAAAACAAAGTACATGAGAAATAATAAGTGAAAATTTATTATAAAGAGATAATTGATGACAAT